CTTTCAGGAACTCTGGGTTATGTGGCTCCAGAGTACCTTTTAGATGGTATGTGAGACTCCCCATTTTATCACAATTTGCTAAATGAAGATGATGTTGATGTTAATTTGTTTGAAGGTGCCTCATCTAGTAGACACTTCCAATTTACTTATCTTGTCTTCTGTTTCATGTCATAGAAGTGTCTCCCAAGAATTATCCTCACTTTGCTCCTCTGAGATTAGAAAAAATTGGTCCCTCCTAGAATTCATATACCCATCTGCAAAAGCATATACAAAGAAGCACCATCATCACTGAGCTCCTGATGTAATTGCTATCGCTACATATTTGATTTATCAACAATTAGATTATGTGAAGAAGATAGGCTTCTCTTCTTTTGCTTACGAGATTCTCATTTCTTCTCTAGTATGATGACTTTGCTTCTCCAAGATACGGCTGAACTTCACATTAATGTTTTGACTCCCTTGTGATGACCATTTTACCTTCGAGGCTTCAACGTTGTTTCTTTGTCACGTTGAAGAAAAAGGGAGAGAGAAATGTTAACTAATATCTTAAGATTGATATTTTATGTGTTAACGTCCAAAAATATATACCCTGATTAGTTTATTTCAAAAGGCAGAGTTCAGTTCTGTACTATTATTGGTTGAGTGCTACCTAGCTTTTGGTTAAGTTGAAGTGGAAGGAAATTGCAGATACAGATCAAGGATACTCCAATGAAGTTGCAAAAGCTCTTACCTAGTCCACAATACTTTGTATGCTAATGAAAAAGAAATGAATGCTAAATTTTCTTTTTCTCAAATTAATAATGTAAATGTTAAAGCTTGTTTTTCACGCTCTCCTCATATGAAATAACATCCTAACCAGAAATCTGAAATTAAAACATTTTTGCCTATATTTTTGCTGCGCTTCAGGGAAATTAACTGATAAGAGTGACGTCTATGCTTTCGGCATTATACTTCTGGAGCTTTTGCTGGGGAGAAGACCAGTGGAGAGACTAGAGGGAGCTCAATGTCAATCTATAGTCACATGGGTATGTTATGCAAGAGATAGTCTAATCATACTTGAATGTTTGCTCTAAATCTCTTTGAGCTAACGGGATGCTGACGTTTAAGTAATTTCATGTCAAACAGGCGATGCCACAACTAACTGACAGGTCAAAGCTCCCTAATATTGTTGATTCTGTCATTAGAGATGGAATGGACCTGAAGCACTTGTATCAAGTGAGTGCACCTGGATCTTTTACCAAATTATTACTTTCATTTTACTATTTTAACTTATGGAATCAAAACGGATGATTTGATAGGTTGCTGCTGTAGCCGTGCTATGTGTACAACCAGAACCAAGTTACCGACCACTGATAACAGATGTCCTGCACTCCTTCATTCCCCTTGTACCAATTGACCTTGGTGGGTCCCTGAGAATTGCGGATTCTGCACTATCTATTAGTGCTTAACAAGATGAGTTTCTTCGTTCAAAGTTTACTATAGACACTGAAGCTGGTAATTGAATGAGCAACTTGACCTTTCCTCTTGCTTTCTTGCATCTTTTGTTTGTTATTTGTCGAATGCAATTTTTGCTATGAATTTAGTGTAGGACCACTCACCAAAAGAAAATTTATGCTGTGTGTATATAGTTGTAAATTTGAGGTAGCAAAAGCTCTGATTTCACTTCAAGTTTTTGGCCTTTCATGATTGTTTTATTTATGTATTAGAGGAATTAATATGCTTCTAGTGTAAAGAATGACTTGCGAAAATATTCCAGTATTTTTGTGTATACAAAAGTTTTTCTGTTCTGCTTATTTCTTGTCCATCAATAGCTATTATGATTAGCTTGGCCAGGCTCCAGCTTCTCCTACCCCTTTCCCCACCTTGTTGAGCTTCACGTGCTGATTTTTTTGTATTCCTTGGTAGATAGGATAAAAATGTTATCTCTCATTCAAGCACCATTTTTGGCCTTTTTCTACATCTCCAATAAAGAAGATAAATGTATGTCATTAATGCAAACCATGTGTAGCATGGCCTACAATTTTTGTGGATCTGGGACCATAAAAATGATAAATGCCATCCTCTTTTAAGGAAGGGTACTTCCTCATCAGCTGCTGGCTAGATTGAGTTTTCTTTTTTTTCCCACCCCATTCCCTAGGAAGATCAGTGTTGTTTCCACTTACCCTCCGGTGTAACTCGAATCGTCAACCTACCAGTTGAATTTGAACTTTAATAACAACTGGAGTCATAGAAGGGGGAAAAGAATATCCAGTTCATTGTCTTAGATAGTCACGTGGTACAATTTGAACGTATCTTTTAGTGAAACAACATTCACATTAAGAAAGACAAAAGGACAGTGTTGTTTCTTCCTAGTTTGAAGATTCTCCTTCTGGAAAACCAGTGTCAATAGCTGGTTTCCTTGAAGTTTTCAGTCACACCAACTTGGCTACCATCGGTATATCAGATGTGTTTCATTCACAAACACGAAGGGTCAAATTTACCTCTCTACTTTCGGATATTGTCTACGTTTACTATCTGTTATACTATCAGGCCAAATTTACCCTTGCCGTTATACTATCCCGTCAAATTTCATTTGTACTCCGTTATATACACTTTCCAGCAAATACAGTTTTCTTTCGTAGACCGATAAAAACAAAATCCTGATTGCTGGACGACACACCAAGGAATTTATTGTTTACGTACATGTAAGATTCCGTTCTTAGTAAACCTCACGGCAATATCTAAGGATGTTTACATCAAACACAATAGTATTAAAAAAATATGCTATCTTTTTCATTAACCATCCCAGCTCATAACTATTAATTCACCTGATCTACTCTTCCCCTGGCACCCGGAAAAGGAAACAAATTCGGGTTATATGCTTAAAAAATCATGGCCTTTACGAACTGGATATGCAGTCGTAATACCAAAAACATGTTTGTAAAAATTGTTCATCCAGGAGGACATATAGAACTTCATGACAGGCCTATTCTTGCATCAGAAATAATCAACAGAAACCCGAAAAGTTGGATTTGTCATCCAACGGTTTTCCAGCAGCCATGGGCCATTCTGCCACCGGAAACCACACTCATGCCTGGCCAAAAATTCTATATTGTGCCAATAAGCACCCTTAAAAGACTTCAATCCTTTGCCTTGAAATCCTCTCCGGCTCTCGTTCATAAACTTCAGAAACAATCAAGTCTTAAAGAAAACACAACAGAAAAGCAGGAAGGCAGTTTTTCTAACTGCTGGTTGTTCCATAGAAATTCAAACAAAAATTCAGAGGTTCCTTATTCTTCTCTAAGACAAGAAAACAGAGATTCGCAATCGCAGAATGATAATTGCTTTACCTGCTTATTAACAGGGATGAAGATCAACAAACCAGCTAGTATAAATAATGTTATGAGTACTGAAACAACATCATCAAGCAACAGCTTGGGATCCTCAGAAACAAATTTTCTGAACAGAAAACAGAGAACTGTAGATCTCAATGAAACATCAACAGGAGTTTCGCCCACAAGGCTTTCGTCTTTCGATCAATGGCATCCCAGTTTAGAAAGCATCTCAGAAGAATAACAAGTTTTCTGCAAATGGAAAAAAATTATCAAACCTCTTTTTTTAAAAAAAAAAAAAAGTTCTATTGTATCTGTACATTTGTGTTTCTATGTTGCTCAGACTCTCCAAAAAAAATTTGTCGCACTCGTGTCAAATCCTTAAAATATTACTTTCGTACAGGCATTCATCAACAATGACAGTAGGGAAAGCTGCGGCTATAAATCAATAAATTCAAGAGAAGCCTAACTTTAATTAATTGTAGTAATTAATTCAACTTTTATTTAGTTTACCCAACGCTATGACTGTGACACTATGTACAAAATATGAATAAGATCTATTAAGATGATTCTAGAACAGCTCCAAAATAAGAATTAAAAAAATACACCAAAATCTCTATACTAATACTAATTCGTTATCGACACTCAAAACACAATTATAGTATCTCTATAGTTTTGTAATTTGATGATAATTGGAGTTTATGATAAGATTAATTTGGATGTTTCTGGAACATAATGGAATATAGTGAAGCTGAAAGAGTTCTTCGAGGAGAATATAGAAGTGAAACAGTACCCGACCCGGATACGTTTCGCCCGCTTCGTGCCGTCATGGATGGGAACTCCAAAGGCAAAGGTAAATATAAAGCTGCCAAAACTATTCTTAGTGGATAGATATTGACTGTACACGCCATAGATTTCAAGTGGAAAAGGTATGTTTGATTTTTTTAACAGGTACTCAAAATCAGGGCTCCACCAAATCACATTTGTATGAGATTTGTGCAGTAAATCATTGGAAAGCACCTTTATTTGAATGTTGCAATGAGGAAGGTCCAGATCACCATAAGTTGTAAGTTTATTACTATTCCAATTTAAAAGTACGCCCTCGCCTTTTAAAACACTGGTGTTACGAATAGATATTAAACATATAATGAGTAGTTAGAATGATCGAGAAGCTAAAATGCAGGTTCACCTTTAAGGTAATTGTGGAAATAAGAGGACTTCGTACAACAACTATAGAGTGTATGGGCAATCCACATTCAAAGAAGAAAGCTGCAGCAGAGAATGCAGCTGAAGGAGCATTGTGGTTTCTAAATCAAGCTGGATATAGATTTAAGCACTGAATTAATTTGTTTCTTAATTTTACAAACAGAAACAGAAAGAATTAAATCTTAATGCTATGTGACTTAAAAGTGTATGAAGAGGTTTTTTCAACTAAGATGTCCATAATATATGAGTTTACACTACTTGTTGACTTGTTGCGTTGTGATCTCTTTCATTATCGTTCTTTTGATTAGATAAGAAACTTCCATTATGTTTTGTTCTTTTTGGAGACTAGCTAGCGCGGAATGATATTTTTGAAGCATGCCCTTAAGTAATGCAAGATGGAGTTGCTACTGGAGAGGTACACAACTCAAATCCTTGTTAAAATTTGGTTCAAATCTCACGAGTCACCACATGTTTGTTGTAAAGAGAACAAATTTCAGCAAAGTGAATCTCATTTGCATAAACTGAAATGCTGCAATTTCTGAATTTGGCTAATTACAATTAAAGTAGTTAAAAGCTGGTAGAATACAAGTACAAGCTAAAAAGGAAACTGTCTAGCTCTTACGAGACCTCTGCTTTCCGACCTTGTTTGCTACATTATTCCCAGAGCACATATCATCTGCTAATCAGCAATGAAAGGAACGGAAAGAGGGAACCTAGAAACAGTTTTCTATTTCTTATTTCTAACTCTTTATTTGCCAACTGACTTTTGTACTGTGGTTGCTGTACTACACTGTGTAATGTTGCTGAATTGTCTCAATGTCAAGTCCCTTGAGCTTCACCACTGACTCCACATGCCCCTTGAGTGTATGAAGCTCTCTTAGCCTATTAACAAATGCAGAAGAATCGAAATTAGAAAATCGTTAAGCTATTGAAAATTGACCCCTGCAAGCTGCAATATGGAAATATCAATCAGAAGTACCTTGCAACTTCAGCACGACGTTTGGCATGCTCAGCTATTTCAGACAATTCATTATAGCTTTTGTTGTCATACATCTGTGAAGTATCAGGAGGGTGAAGTCCGTGCAATGTGCGTTGAGCCAATGCCCATTGCGCCTCTCTTTCTCCCCTACCATAATCCTTCTTGTTTGTGAAAGCAACCTGCACAGTAGGAAGAGAGTCACAAGTCATAACATGTTAGGTAAATTTTTTATTGATATGAACATTGTTGATGTGAAGTACCTTGTTTTCAATCATACTGTTCCAGGCTCTGCCACTCAAAATGTATCTGATTGCGAATTTTAGAAAATCTAGAGGTATGTAGAAAATAATACTGTAAAGCCAAATAACACCAGCCCAACCCCAACCAATACCATGGATCCTAGCAAAACCCCAGTTTGCATATACTGCAATTATGGTGGCAACCTGAAAGATAAACAAATCATTAGAGGTGAAGTTCTATGGTGCTAACTGCTAACGGCTAATCTGGTACTGGAAACTAACCAACTTACCAGCTGTGCTACAAAAAAAGCAGCTAACAGAAGGAAACCAGGTCGTTCTACGTAAGACCAACTCCTTGACCTAGTTACGAAAATGAGTGCCTGACTAACAATGCTGACTTGAAGATACAGTGCAGCATTGAGCTCGTGTACATTGTCTCTAATCGATCTTACTCCAAATTTGTCCTGCAAATACAGTGCAAGTTGGATCGATAAGCAACATTTCAGTTATATTGTTTGTTAATTGAGTAGTGCACAATTTACTTACACTGAAGAAATTTGACTGGTGTGCAAGCCAAAAGAAGATAACAGTCATCACGGCTAGGTAAGTACCAAGAACTATGCCAGTGGCAAATATTTCTCTAAGTTTCCATGAGTCAGGCATGGGTGATGGCTTCACCTTATCTTTAGATATGGTCATGATGGTTCCATCATTAAGAATGGCAATGATAAGAACCATGAAAGGTGAGAAATCAAACTTCCAGATTAATGCAATGAGCATGAACCCTAGTACAATTCGGATGGTTATAGAAACAGCATAAATGGTATAATTCTTCATCCTCTGAAATATAGCTCGGCTGGTCAAAACAGCACTCACTATCACACTCAATCCTGGCTCCGTGAGAACTATGTCTGATGCACTACGAGCAGCATCAGTAGCATCTGCCACAGCTATGCCTATATCTGCTTTCTTCAAAGCAGGGGCATCATTCACACCATCTCCTGTCATACCACAAATGTGCTTTCTTTCTTGGAGCTTCCTCACGATCTCATATTTGTGCTCTACACAGTTCCAAAGATATCGCGCAAATACAAATAAGTATAAAGATTGCTAATAATAGAAGTCAGGAGGATGACTTTCTAACAGTAAAAAATATATGGGAAATAGTTAGTAACCTGGAAAGACTCCGGCAAAGCCATCAGCCATCTCGATGAGTTCATCCACAGGGAGGTTAGCAATACTTTCATCCTTGTGCTGCCCCAGGAGGGAGGAAGAAGGATACATGTTTGTTCCCATGCCAAGCCTACGACCAGTCTCCTTGCCTATGGCAAGCTGATCGCCAGTTATCATTTTTACATTGACACCAAGGACAAGGGCACGCCTAATTGTTTCTGCACTATCATGCCTTGGAGGGTCAAAAAGAGGCAAGAGCCCTACAAAGACCCAAGGCGCTCCTGGACTTTCCTTTGTCTTCTCTGGTACAGTCTGTACTCAGAAAGAATACATCCACTGGCTTCAGTTTGAAGCAGGAAAAAAACACACAATTCTACTGACTTTGCTTTATTAAATTTTTCACCTGTTGAGCCACTGCAAGAGAGCGAAGACCACGATCAGCAAACTTGTCAATGATGGAGTGAACTTTCCTCTTTACATGCTCACTTAGGCGACAAAGATCAACAATCTGGTAACAGAATTCAAATGATTATGTAACCAACTCAGTTATAGACAGAAAGAAGTATCAAGTGCTTTTGCTTACCTGTTCTGGTGCACCTTTGCTAACCCTATGCCAATTGCCATTGGTGTCTATGTAAGTAATAGCTGTGCGCTTGTCAACAGGGTTAAAAGGCAGGAAGTGCACTTCTTGAATCCCAGCTCTAGCCTAGAGAGTCACACATAAATAAAAAATTCAGGTACAAGTAACTTGATGCACTTTCTATCGATGAGAGTTGGCCTATCATAAATGAAGGGATAAGTTTTCTACCTCCTTGGCATCTGCTAGCATTCCGACAATGCAAGCATCTATAGCATCCTGGTTTTCAACCCTTGAAGCTCTGGCCCCAAGAAGAATAACGGTATCTTGGTCCATATCCTTTGCGAAGACCTGTACCACCCCTCCCAATGAAGAAGACAATCTAGTTAGCACACACTTTGGCTTATCTCTTTAAATACAAGAAATGTCATGTTAATTCACAAACCTCGACTAAACCTTTGTCTACTTCAAGTTTGTTTAATGTAAGAGTTCCTGTCTTGTCACTACAAAGAACATCCATTCCAGCCATCTCCTCTATAGCAGTCATCCTCTTAGTAATGGCACCTTGTTCTGACAATTTGTGAGATCCAATAGCCATAGTGACCGATAATACAGTAGGCATGGCTATTGGAATCCCTCCAATGAGAAGAACAAGCAGATTATCAATTCCATCTCTGTACTTTCTGTGCTGAATTGGGTACATCACCAGTATTTCTATGATGATTCCAACTAGAATGGAGCATATGCAGAAGTTTCCGATTGCTGTCAACACCTGTCAAAATCATCTAAGTCAGCTGGATGAGCTCCATTTCAACTTTTCAGTCAAAATGTAAGATTTTTACCTTCTGGAAGTGGCCAACATTATTGGTACTATCAACAAGATGAGCAGCTTTTCCGAAAAAGGTGCTGATTCCAGTTGCAATGACAACAGCCTCAATTTCACCTTGTTTACATGTGGAACCAGAGTAAACTCCCTCCCCTGGGTGCTTTGTCACGGGTAATGACTCACCCGTGAGAGCAGATTGATCAATCTTCAAGGGATCTCCATCAAGTAAACGAGCATCAGCCGGTACAATATCCCCCAACTTAATACTTATCACATCCCCTGGTACTAACAATGCTGCATCCATCTCCTTCCAGCTACCATCTCTTATCACCTTCGTCTTAGGAGCAAGACCAGCCATCAAGGCTGCTGCAGCATTGCCTGCATTGTTTTCTTCGATGAAACTAACCGTAGAGTTGATGACAAGCAAGATCACAATTCCAAGAAAATCTTGCCAATCTGGTGGCCTATTCTGTCCATTTGCCAATACAATAGCAATGATAGCAGCAATTTCCATAACCCATGACAAGGGATTCCACATGAAACCCAAAAATTTTAAGATCTTATTCTCTTTTTTCTCCTCAAGTTTATTTTGGCCAAACACTTCAAGCCTTCTAGCTGCATCCTGAGATTCCAATCCCTCCTTGGAACTTACCAATATCCTAAATACATCATCCACTGGTATTGTTTCCTGTATAACACACAAAGCAATGCATGTTAGACATTTTCCCCGGACAACAAGATTCATTCTTAATTAGTACATAAATACACCAACATAATAAAAGAAATCACATTTTCTATTGCAAATGACGATCATACTATCATATAAAAACCAAATGAAGAAAAAAAACGTACAAGATCAACGTTCTCCTTCTTGATATCATCCAAGCTGACGGTTTCCTTTTGATCCGCCATGTTTAATCTACTCACTTTCTGTCAGCTACAACTAATATAACACACACACACACATATAAATTAATCAGAAATTATTGTTCATAATGAACATTGTTGAGACGATAAATGAAACATATTATGACAATATATGAAACATAATTTGACTAGGTCTGGTATTAACGGATTTGTGTAATAGATTGAGATTTGAATTGAAGTAAATAGGTAGTATTATTATAGTACGATGACTCCCATTAATTCAACTAATTAAGCTTTACTAAGGTAACGGATTGAGTGAGAGTTACTTACTCCCAACCAATTATTCTAAACCAACAAAAACTAGCGGTAATTACTAATTTCTTTCCTTTTTCGTTTCTCTTTTTTTCTAGTACTCTCCCGTCTCAATTTATGTGATGTGGTTTGATTTGACACGACTATAAATCATTTTATTAATGTTAAAATAGAAACTTTAAAGTGAAATTGTTACTCATAAAAAAGTGCAAAAGTTATTAAATCTCATTAAAAAAAATGTGTGAGCACCAATGTTTATAATACTAAGAAACCAAATTACACTGACTATAAAATCTAACTATGAATTAAATAAAAACCAAACATTTGTTATGTTCTAGTTTAATTTTTTAAAATATTTTAAAGTAGTATTTGACTGAAAATATTAGAAAAGAATATACAAGTATTAAAAAATTTATCGTCCTAAAAACAATGTATTATTGGGTGTGTAGGGTGGACTTGCACAACTACGTAGTGACTGCGACTTCAATGCTACCTAATTAGTGGAATATTAATTAACAGAATTTTTCTAGGTTAGATGTACGTATTTACTATTTTGACTTCGCACGTTTCGATAGAATATTCATAATTGGCTGACGTAGATCAAATACTTTTCCGCACATTATTTTGTTCACTTTTATTTGTTTATTTTGGGCTTTAATATGAACATTTTATCACAATATATGGACTAATTGAGTACTCCCTCCGTCCCTAATTACTTGTCCACTTATTTTTTTAGTTGTCCATTTTGACAAATCAAGAAAGGACAAAAAAAAATACCTATTATACCCTCAATTAATTATTTTGAAAAAATAGAACTTGAAAATTTTAAGTTTTAAATTCATCCACTTCATAACTAATATGGGTAAAATAGTAAACTCACTATGTCTATCATTGTTTTTTTAATTAGTATGTCAATTCAAAAGTAGACAAGTAATTAGGGACAGCGGGAATATGATTGATGTATATATTTTTTATCTGATTTGAGAAATAAGTAATTAATGTTGATAGTAAAATTTAAAAAAATGAAATCTTTCGCAAATAGCTACTATAATAACCTTAATTATGATCCATAGCTATAGTTTGCATATTTACAAGTTGTAGCTATAGTTTAAATTGTCACGTTTCTATAATTTGCGGGTTTGTATAATTCGCGGGTGAGTTTGTATAATTTGGGAGTACATTTGTATAATTCAGTTATTTTTGTATAAACTCAAAATAATGAATTTATACAATTACAAACATTTGAAGTGTAAACAGTTATACAAATTATATTATACAAAATTACATTATACAAAAGTTATACAAATTATATTATACAAAATTACATTATACAAAAGTTATACAAATTATATTATACAAAATTACATTATACAAAAGTTATACAAATTATATTATACAAAATTACATTATACAAAAGTTATACAAATTATATTATACAAAATTACATTATACAAAAGTTATACAAATTATATTATACAAAATTACATTATACAAAAGTTATACAAATTATATTATACAAAATTACATTATACAAAAGTTATACAAATTATATTACACAAATTCCGAATTATACAAACGTGCGAGTTATACAGAACTAAAAAGTTGAGCCGCGTAATTATAGCTAAAAGTAGGTCGTGAATTATAATTAAGGCAAATTATAACTATATTAACTAATTAATTAGTAGGTGTTTGTTTATACGCTTAATTAATTTTCCAAAAAGAAATAATCAGCCCAGCATTGGACAACCATCGGAGATTGCTGAAAATATGGGATGTAAGTAATTTGGCCCAAGGTTGAAGAAATAGTCAGCCCAGCATCTTGGGTATCTCAGGTCCAATAAGAAATTAGAAGGTTGAGAAATGAATAGAAGACAATTTTACATTTTAAAAGGGTTTAAATTTTATATATGTCATATATTATAGTAATATTTTCAAGTTATAGCAGTAGATTTAGACTTTCAAGTTATAACATTAAAAATTTCAGGTTCTAACAAATAATTTAAAAAAAAAAAACTGTTTTCAATAATTGAAAAAAATTGTTTAAATAAAATAAAGAGATAAAAGAAAAATGAAAAAAAATGTTTTTTAATGAAAACAAGTAATGAACTGAAATTGTGGTGTTAATTTAATCTGAATTTATTGTAGATAATTAATAAATAGCACGAATTAAGGGATTTAAACTAATTAAGATTATTTAGTATCTTTAATTCACTCAAATCAGTTAAAATAAAAAAAAATCCGATTTTATCTTCTTCTTTTTTCAACGTTTCTCTCTTCAATTTGCAACAAAAAAATTTCAACGTTTCTCTCTTCAATTTTCAACAAAAAAAAATCCACATTCGAGTAATTGAAGTTTTTTTCATCTTTGAAAATTCTTGTTTTTGTTGTGATGGACAACTACGTATCAGTTTTAATCAAACATGGTGAAAGATGGGATCCTTCGGGTTAGTATTTATTATTGTTTAACGTTTGTTTTAGAATGATAGCGAAATGAAACAAAGATGATCAAACTGTCGATTAATTGAAGGTGGAGTCATGTTTTGTTAACTGTTGATATCATATTATGTTTACTGTTGTGAAATGTAAAAAATTTAGTGTTTATTTGTTTATTTTGTATACGGTTGTTGTTTTGTGAAATTATAAATTTAATGTGATTTTATGAATAAATTTGATAGAATAAATTAAATGAAATTTGTATGAAAGTGTGCTAATTAATCTGTAAAAATAATTTAATTATAATGTTGACAAATTTATGAAAAAATATTTTATTTGATAATGAAGTTGATAATATAAGTCGAATGAATTATGTATGAAAAGTGTGTTGAGAAATATGTAAAAAAAAAATTGGAATTCTTGACGAAGTGTATTACAAGTGTTTTAAATTGGTATTAAATGTGAAATTGTTAAGTTTATATTAGTTTTGTTATTTCTGTATAAAGTTGGATGACAGTAATTAATTATTTGGGACGAGAAATGTATATAGTTTGAATGAATAATCGTTTTGTATGAAATGTGTATTAAATGAGTATGAAAATGTATAAATTTGGTATGAATGATGATTGTTGTATGAAATGTGTATTAAGTGAGTATTAAATGTGAAATATTATGTTTTGTATGAAATTTGTTTTGTAATATACTGTCTAAATGATATTTGTATGAAAAAATATTGACAAGTGTGTATAATTTTGTTGTTATTATAATGATTTTTATGGATGAAATTTGTATTGTCTTTGGAATGAAAAGTTAATATTATTTAACATATTTCTAATTGATTTGTATAATGTTATACTAATTGTTTTTTTTTAATGAAACTGAGAATTATGTTGAATTTCAAATGAAATGAATTATATATGAAAGAAAGTTGCTGATGTGAAATTCTAAAGGTCCAAAGTTACTTGCAGTAGATGTTGTCAAGTTGGCCACAACATGAAGCATGTTCAAATTATCCTGTGCAAAACTAATGACTGTTTATTTGTTTAGACTATATATAATTTTTATTTTATTTTTTCGTTTAGATTAATGTTTTGTTTGATATGAAACATAATTGGTTTGAAGTGCATTATAAACTTAGTGTTTAATATACCGTTCATTCTTTATACACGGTTCATTCATTAATCATACAGTTAAAAATAAAATTTATTCCAGCTTAATACATAAGATAGTGTAAATATTAGTGATAATTATAAAAGGTAATTATGGTATCCTGAGTATTTAATTTAATGTAAGTTTACATGAATATTAATTTGGTTTTCAACTGGTGTCCTACTATAAATAAATTTAAAACAAATTGCAGTTAGTGTTTCATTCCCATACTAACTTCAGTTAGTGTCATACACAATTTATACCATTTGTATATCAATATTATATCATAATTCATACAATATCCAACAATAAAATATTAAACTCATAGGCATACACGTATTAATCAGATTTCATACACGTTTCATACCAAAAACATGTTTAGAATATAAAGTAAGCATAATGTGATTTTTTTAAAGAAAAAAATCAGTAGTTTGACAAATCATATACCATTTTCATACCAATTTAATAATTTATACCATAAACACAGTTAATAGACAATCACACCAATGTTAAAACGCAATTCATACCATTTGTATACCATTATTATATCACAATTCATAAATTTTTCAAAATCAAAACATTAAAGCGTAGTCAATCACATATTAATCATCAATTCATAAAATTTTCAAAATCAAAACATTAAAGCGTAGTCATACACATATTAATCAGATTTCATCCAATAAATGTACAGTTTGGAAACACACTGATATTTTCAAAATAGTATCTTGAAATTGTAATAGGCAATCAGTAATTCATATGTAAACGGTATCTGCCTGAAAGAAAACATATGATATTATATATCATCAAATACTTAAACACAAAAAAATTGTCCAAAAGTTAAAAAAAAATAACTTTTTGTTGTTCTTCTTGTTGATGGTTTTGAAGATGCTTCAACTTCTACATTTTTTTTTCTTTTTAATTTCAGTAACAAAATCAAAATCGGAATCAGAAGGGGTTTCAACAATTTTCCCCTTCTTCTTCTTCCCCTTTTGATTTGCTGGGGTGACCTTTTTTTTTCTTCATTCTTTCTCTCTTTGTCGCTCCTTCAACTTAAATGAACCATCCGTCGCCGGGTTTTGAATATTCGCCGGATTTTCAACAATTTTAGGCGGGGAGGGGGGGGGGTTGGAGTTAATATATTAAAATTTGAAACATGAACATCATCATTAGATGTTCCTTCACCCAATCTGGGACTCTTTCGAGGCGTTTCAATGGATTTCTTAGACATAATTTTGTTGGGAAAAAAAAATTGGACGAAAAGATTGAATGTTGGTGTAGTTGGCTGGTGAGAATAATGGGAGAGAAGAAGGTGAAAGTGGGGTGATAGCATGTATAGTTGGATAGGTCGTGGGATTGACTAATGGGAGTTTATAAGTATCACATTAAATAAGAAAGTGTAATCAATGCAAAATTCCCATAATTGTGTAAGAGATAATTATGGGGTATTCTTTATTTAAATAATTTAATAATAATATAAAATTATAAAAAATTACTTATTTAATAAAGTAAAATTTAATTAATTTATAAATAATTAGTGATATGTTATAACCCGTAATTAAACTGCAAGAATTTTTTAAAAGTAGATTTAAAACCTGTAATATTGACTCTTAAATGTGTATATAAGGTGATTTTTCCATGTCATAATTAATGTGCACGTGTCGGAATGAGAGCCAAACAACACTTGCCCGAAATACACTGCTCATTAGTCATCACTCTTGTCTTGTACTTAACCAAATTTCTCTTCAATTTGCATTTTTGCTACATATTTTAATTTCTCACCAGAAAACGTCTGGTTTTCATAATAGCATTACTGTTGTGTATTCACCTTTATATTTCAAATTTCAACTAATTTGACATTGTTTCAACTGATATATTGTTCAAAATAGTTAAGATGTCACCATTGTAATCGTAGTCTTGGTCAAATTCAATTAGGCATTTCCTATTTAATGTACTGTTATCGATGTGAAAGAAAAGACTAATTTGATTATGGGCCTGTTTGGAATGATAACCTTGTAATTGAATTTGGTATAATTGGGTGTAATTACACTATTTTGATTACGTCATTTTCGTTTTGCATATTCACCTTTTAATTTAATGCATTCCCTTCTGAGACACTCTATAAAATTGAAACAATACAGAAAGAACTAGTATGATTCCGTGTTTATCCAAATTAAATTATAGTATTTGATTTTGAAATTGGAAGAATCTCACAAAAATTATTAGATGTGACCTTATTATGAATGCAAGATTTATGCTAAAGGAATATTTGATTGTGGATTCACCAGATCTAGTCCAAGAAGAAAGAAACAAACTTTGGAGTTAATTAAAACGAGCGTGAAATCAATGGTCAAAAAGTTTACTGCTTTCCTAAAGTATCCGTGTCTGTTAAGTTTCAGAATTTTGTAGACAAAGGGATCATATCCCTCTAATTAACGCACTGTCAGGAAGAGACTTTATGAGAATGTACGTCTCTACTCTGAAAAACTTATTCATACCCTCCCCTCTCGAATTCACACCGTTAAATTAGATCTTAGGCTTAACTCACGCTCCAAAAACTAGTTCAAAGAAAGGAGGATTGTTCAAGCCTTATAAAGAGTCTATCCATCTTTAACACACACTTGATCAGAAATTCTAATAAAGGAGATTAGAATAACCAACGACCATCACCATTAGAACAATGACCAAGATTAGAACAAATTAAATGATAAATTATCTATTTTTAATAGAGTGGGCAAGTAAAAATAAATGAAGTCGAGTAGTAGTGACATAGTGAGTTAGAGAGACGGAATAATTCCATTTGAAGCTAATTTATTGCATTTATAATCTTATTCATTGAGAACAGAACACATCTCAATAGATCCATAATCAAGCAATTCCTCAATCATCTGCTCTATATGTTCATCTTCCAGTGCCTTCATGTACTGTTGTGATGCACTCTCACTCTGCCTTTCTTCTCCATCTCCCCTGTTCGTGGATATCTCCTTCTCTTTTTTATCTTCCAATTTTGTCTTTCCAGGTCTTTTTGACGTAGCAGTGAGAGATGTCATGTGGCATTTTTGAAGTTTAGCTATCAAAGCAGAAGACAGAAACCGTGTCGACTCTGTGGCATTGTAAGGGAAATTAGTCCGTGCTGTTGAACCACACATGAGTCTTGCTGCTTCATCATATGCCCTCGCAGCATCCTCTGATGTCTCAAATGTTCCTAGCCATATCCTTGTCTTCCTGTATAACTATAGTAATTAAATTCACCAGAAAAAAAAAACTAACAACGATCATTTTGTTAAATTGGGGTCACAGGGGCGGAGCCAGCCTTCTTTTAGGGGTTCATCCGACCCCCTTTGGCGGAAAATATTACTATTCATACATGATTAAAATTATTTTTTATGTATATATAGTAGATGTTGAACCCCTTTCAATTAGTCTGTCTGTTTAGTTCTTCAAATTTTAAACCCCTTATTAAAAATTCTAGCTTCGATCCGCCACTGATTGGGGATAGGGCAAGGAGGAATGTAGAGGGGATTACAATATGGGAAATCGAACCTTCACCAATAGTATGAAAGTTTTAGGTAATCAACCAACTAACTGATCTACTAAGATTCCCAATAACCATGATCATTAAGTTTGACTATCAGAACAAATATAAAGTTGTTACTAAAGCTACCAAATTTGGCCGGACTCGTAAACTCTAAGCTAGCTCTGCTCCTGATTGATGAAACAAAGTGTAAGAAAGAGAGATAAGAGGGAGAAGAATTACAATGAAGGATGACGAATTTCGGAAACCCAAGATCCCCAATGCCGCTGGCGAACACCTCGATATCTTTGTTGTGGTCGAGACATGGGGAAATTTAGAGGCTATAAAAGTAGGAGAAGTGATGAGTATATTTGATACTCCTATGGCTATAAGAGATGTAGGGGAAGAAGGTTAAAGGTTTTCAGGGGCTTTTGTAAGCGACTCTTTTTGGCCTTCACCTCCAAATTATTATGGTTTGGTCCCACAGGGCTTTCTATACTTGTATTTTTTTTAAGTCCGATTAATTTAAATTCACATTGGACAAGGCTTTATCCAATTATAGCGCTTCTCAACTACTAAAAAAAATTTCATACTTGAAGCTCTAAATCAAGACTTTTTATTAAGGAAGAAGTTTTTTCTATTGCACCACAATCTTTTATGGTGCTTTCTATAGTTTTTTCTTGTTTTCTTTATGCAATATAATTCGAGTCAAAAGTGTAATTTAATGAAAAGTTAATTTTTTTTTATGTTTTTGAATAAAATATATTTTATAATATTTGTGTGATCATAAAATATTCTTTATTCTACTATATTATAAAAGAGAGGTTAGGCCCAAATATAATATATAATATTCAAGATTGGGACTTTTCCCAATCTTGAATATTATATATTATATTTGGGCCTAACCTCTCTTTTATAATATAGTAGAATAAAGAATATTTTATGATCACACAAATATTATAAAATATATTTTATTCAAAAACATAAAAAAAAATTAACTTTTCATTAAATTACACTTTTGACTCGAATTATATTGCATAAAGAAAACAAGAAAAAACTATAGAAAGCACCATAAAAGATTGTGGTGCAATAGAAAAAACTTCTTCCTTAATAAAAAGTCTTGATTTAGAGCTTCAAGTATGAAATTTTTTTTAGTAGTTGAGAAGCGCTATAATTGGATAAAGCCTTGTCCAATGTGAATTTAAATTAATCGGACTTAAAAAAAATACAAGTATAGAAAGCCCTGTGGGACCAAACCATAATAATTTGGAGGTGAAGGCCAAAAAGAGTCGCTTACAAAAGCCCCTGAAAACCTTTAACCTTCTTCCCCTACATCTCTTATAGCCATAGGAGTATCAAATATACTCATCACTTCTCCTACTTTTATAGCCTCTAAATTTCCCCATGTCTCGACCACAACAAAGATATCGAGGTGTTCGCCAGCGGCATTGGGGATCTTGGGTTTCCGAAATTCGTCATCCTTCATTGTAATTCTTCTCCCTCTTATCTCTCTTTCTTACACTTTGTTTCATCAATCAGGAGCAGAGCTAGCTTAGAGTTTACGAGTCCGGCCAAATTTGGTAGCTTTAGTAACAACTTTATATTTGTTCTGATAGTCAAACTTAATGATCATGGTTATTGGGAATCTTAGTAGATCAGTTAGTTGGTTGATTACCTAAAACTTTCATACTATTGGTGAAGGTTCGATTTCCCATATTGTAATCCCCTCTACATTCCTCCTTGCCCTATCCCCAATCAGTGGCGGATCGAAGCTAGAATTTTTAATAAGGGGTTTAAAATTTGAAGAACTAAACAGACAGACTAATTGAAAGGGGTTCAACATCTACTATATATACATAAAAAATAATTTTAATCATGTATGAATAGTAATATTTTCCGCCAAAGGGGGTCGGATGAACCCCTAAAAGAAGGCTGGCTCCGCCCCTGTGACCCCAATTTAACAAAATGATCGTTGTTAGTTTTTTTTTTCTGGTGAATTTAATTACTATAGTTATACAGGAAGACAAGGATATGGCTAGGAACATTTGAGACATCAGAGGATGCTGCGAGGGCATATGATGAAGCAGCAAGACTCATGTGTGGTTCAACAGCACGGACTAATTTCCCTTACAATGCCACAGAGTCGACACGGTTTCTGTCTTCTGCTTTGATAGCTAAACTTCAAAAATGCCACATGACATCTCTCACTGCTACGTCAAAAAGACCTGGAAAGACAAAATTGGAAGATAAAAAAGAGAAGGAGATATCCACGAACAGGGGAGATGGAGAAGAAAGGCAGAGTGAGAGTGCATCACAACAGTACATGAAGGCACTGGAAGATGAACATATAGAGCAGATGATTGAGGAATTGCTTGATTATGGATCTATTGAGATGTGTTCTGTTCTCAATGAATAAGATTATAAATGCAATAAATTAGCTTCAAATGGAATTATTCCGTCTCTCTAACTCACTATGTCACTACTACTCGACTTCATTTATTTTTACTTGCCCACTCTATTAAAAATAGATAATTTATCATTTAATTTGTTCTAATCTTGGTCATTGTTCTAATGGTGATGGTCGTTGGTTATTCTAATCTCCTTTATTAGAATTTCTGATCAAGTGTGTGTTAAAGATGGATAGACTCTTTATAAGGCTTGAACAATCCTCCTTTCTTTGAACTAGTTTTTGGAGCGTGAGTTAAGCCTAAGATCTAATTTAACGGTGTGAATTCGAGAGGGGAGGGTATGAATAAGTTTTTCAGAGTAGAGACGTACATTCTCATAAAGTCTCTTCCTGACAGTGCGTTAATTAGAGGGATATGATCCCTTTGTCTACAAAATTCTGAAACTTAACAGACACGGATACTTTAGGAAAGCAGTAAACTTTTTGACCATTGATTTCACGCTCGTAAATTAGAAATATCTTTTAAAAATAATTTTTAATATTTTTTTGGGAGGGGGTGGGGGTAGGGGTGAGGGTGGGGTAAAAAAATTGAATTTAAAAACAAACTTTAATTTATTTATTTTTTTGGGGAGAGGGGGAGTGGTTGGGGTCTGGTTTGAGGGTAGGGACAAAATAAATAATTGTAATTTGAAGTTGAAAGAAAGTTTTGGAAAATGTTTTCCTTAAGTTTTGAAGAGAAGTCATTTTCCTTAAATTTGAGGAAAATGAGTTGATTTGAAAAATATTTTTCCAAACATGAGAAAATTTGAAAACATTTTTCGAAAAATGTTTTCCTTCGTACCAAACACACCCTAAATGTAAAAATATCTTCTTTTTTTCTTAATGAACCAAAACAAACGATAGAATACTAATAAGAAAACAATTATTGTATTTTATAAAAGAAAAAAGTAGAAAAGGAAAGGAGTTTGTGTGGATACAAGAATATGGATTAGTAATAAAGTTGTTTGTACTGTACTTGTTTTGAGGATTTAGGAATGGACCTATTACTTATTAACAGTACCCATCAATATATCATTTCAAGCCATCCTAATAATGTGCATGGTTGTGTGGTGAAAGCATGATTGGCGCACAATATGAAATTCCGCCAGTGCTATACAAGAAGATATCACAATTTTATGCCAATTATATTGTATAAATACTAATTGTGGCACCAGTATAAGGTGCATGCTAGCGGTTAAAGTACATCAGGTTTTTCTTTTGGGACGTAAGTTTGAATTTTATCGAATTCATTTTTTAACATGTGGACATTCTTTTTTGGTGAATTTATTATTGAAAAACGTTAGCGTTAACTAGTAGAATCGAACATCAGGCTTCTTCTAACTAAAATTTTGACTACACTAACAAGACGAGGCCTTACTTGTGAAAGAATTTGTTTGATAACTATTAATTATAGTTTTTCTATGTGAATATTGACACCATTTTCATATGCATACTTTACCGTTTAAAGTGACATAATATATTTAAAGCTTTCAAATTTTGAAATCGTCTCTATTTAAATGTACGTTTCTTAAGATTTAAGCTAGGTTCTTAATATGACAGGAACTATTCACATGGGAATGACTTACTACCATATATATATTCATGTACATATTTGACTGACGCGGGCAAGATTACATAAGAAAATGCGACCTTATCCTCGTAGCATAAGGACATGAGTTTCATGTACTAGACCATATATATATATGGGCATATCTCCCTCGTCCAAATTTGGAATTTAGCAAACTTGATGGCGTTGGAAAGAGGATTCAAATATCTTTCATTTGATACCTTATGTGCTACCTAATTAATCCTTAGCTGAAAGTTATGGTGTTATATATATATAATACTAGTGGTAATCAACAAATATGATATATTTTATCTCTTTCAATCCATGGTATACTTTTATAAAAATCTAATTTGAAAAGAATAACACTTTTTTATATATATATTCAAAAATAATTTTATTTTAAAATTTTCATTTTAATCCTCAATAAAATAATTTAAAACAATAAAATATCTACAATATAATTAATTTTAAATCACAATTTTCTCTCTCTCTTTTCTTTTAGAAAATCATTTCAACAAATTCAAGTCAAGTATATATTAATGATCGAAAGAGAAGGTATTTTGTCTCCACCTCTACTAATGTGGTTGTTAAAATTATAACCTAGCCTAATTAATGAAGGAGAATATATTTCTACATAGTAATTTTGGAATAAAAGATCAATTTCTAAATGTCTCTTTCCATTCAAAAAAAATATTTAATACATGTAAGAATAAAATTTAATTTTTTTACTATCTGCAATTGAATCCATCATCTTAAAAATGAGAACCCGATAAAATTTGAAGCTGGTCCTGAAGCCGCTTTCTCCCTGCACGCGTCTCTGCAAGCTGTTTTGTAGCTGAAATATTTGACTTTTATCTCTAAATAGACATACCATACGTAGGATATGACATTTATTTGTGTTACATCATGATTCATGCATATGCATGTTTCATTGGAGATTTGATGTAACAGTTCTATAGTCTGAAGTGGATTGGTACGTAAAAATAGATTGAATTAATAAACGAATTGTTATAGCTTAAATTTATTTGGATCAAAATAAGTAACATTAAAACGTGTTAAATAATATGATTATAGCCCGGCTCGTCTAACTCTTACCAAATTTAATAAATTAATTAACTAATTTATAATTCATTTCATAATTATGATTATCTTACTTATCAAATAAGCTAAGATATTTCATAAGGTTATTTTATCTCATCTTTTATACGAGATAGTAATTCTATTATTTCAGTATAAATGATTGGATAAATTAGCACCAAAATTAACTAATACCTCAAATCAAGTATCTATGGAATAAAGTTAATCTCAAATTTTATTCTACTATTGTTGCCAATCTGTGTTTAAAACAGAATTACTAATTACAATAAACTTTGCAGAAACACAAAGTAACCAAAGTTTTAATGAACTAGTAAGAACAGAAGAACATAAATTAATTCAGAACAACTAAAATCTGTAAAACATACCAGAATCTGGAAAAAGATAGAACGGAAAAGATCAAGCCCACTGAATGTATAGTGTCTCCTTAAGGAAATTATTCCCCTCTAGTATCCGAGGTTTGATTTGGAATATGTCCTCCCAGGATAGAATGATCTCAATCACCAGTGTATTGATACCCAAAACTCTGGTGTCAGCGAACCACTCAACAACAATAAAGTACACTAAGAAACTTTGTGCAGAAGAAGAAGAAGAAATCAGAAAAATTCGTAAGGAAAAAATATGAAGAATCAATGTATTTATAGGCAAGAGGAACTTGTTCCGAAAGGTTGCAACCCTTTCAGAATCCACATGACCATTCATGAAAGTTTGCAACCTTTCAAACGGTCATGGCTGTTTCTGAAAGTTGCAACCTTTCAGAACAGTCACTTCCAACGGCTGGAAATTCAAATATAACGGGAAATAATTTAAATAAAACGGGTCACGCGCGAATTCGAGTCGGGTCGGTCAATTAACTGAATAATCAAAACTTTTCTGTTAAATAACTAATTAATTGAAACGTTTTGGCCATTTAATTTAATTTAATTAATTAAATAAATAATTAACTAAATAATTAAAACAAACTTTGTCCAAAAAATAATCTCTCGATCATTTTCCAAAGCCGAAGTCGAGCGAGCGACGACGATGGCGCGAGGGGGTCCCTCTTTCCAACCCTTTTAACAAATAATAGGAGTATTTTTATATTTAAACTCTTCTATTTTTCTTTCCACCACCGATGAGAGAGAAGTGTCTTTTCACTAAATCATAAAAGGACTTTTCAAGTTCTCAACTTTCCAAGTTCCTCTCTTTTCGTCTTCCCTCTATTTCCCATTAACTCTTGCTGCATAGCCAACAATATCATTGATAATGAACAAAACAACCTTGAATTAAAGGCTTCATGCATGTTTTCCAATTAATAATTGAAGGGCTTAAATTAAATATGGGATTTAGTGATTCATGTCTCACACCACTTAAAACTAAAATTCAAAACTACCGAATGCAATATTTTTATGAGTATACTAAGTTTCATGTAAAATGAAATAGCATTCAACATAATATTATAGTAATTATTAATAAACTTACTACTATTATTTTCCTCTATGATTAGACTACCACGAGCAACTTCAGATGCAACAAAAGGGACTTGTATTTTCACTTGTAATCATATGCTTATTTGCAAATAAGAAAGCGATACCACATATAGGTATAAAATAATGACAATTTATTAGAGATATCAACTTTATTATTTTTAATTTGCTCGGATCTTTTATTCATACTTGTCTTCAATTGGAAGTATATATTGATTCATAATTTAATTTTTCAATGTTCAATAAGTGATTTTTAAGTACAAATCATGAGAATATGTATTTGTTCTTGATCATTCTGCATGCATGAATTTGCCATACCAATTCATTGTAGGTCCTTTCTTGATGTGACTAAGTAATAAGTACTTATATAAAACATGGTGTGTGTAAAGAAAAATAGTTAATGATGAAGGCAGATTTTACGTTAGGCAAAATGATGACACTCATGCATAAAATTTCATTATTGGGATTTTAGCTACTGCTTTCTTTCTTAGTGCTTTTGTAAGTAAAATTATTATTTCACTCAAAATACTTCTAACATAGGATGTCCGACTTCAAATTATCCGTTACAAATTTTGAAGTTGAAATAATTAATGATATAATTATTATTAGATAAAATGTAGAATTATTTTATTTTATCTTTAGTCAATAATTATTTATTTCAGAATGTGAGATTATGGGATCATAATACCAAAATTAATAACTAATTCCCAATTAAAATAATCAAATGACAAAAATATCCGAAAATCCCTTCACAAAGTCCAATGTTAAAACTCAAAATAAAAGTTTAACCAAACTTAATTCGTAATCTCTAATACTTAAACACATTTTTTTTTTATAAACAATATATATCTCATTTTTCAATTAAGGAACTAAACA